GAGGGAGGGAGGGAGGGAGGGAGGGAGAGAAGGAGAAGAAGAAGGAGAAGAAGAAGAAGGAGGAGGAGGAGGAGAAGGAAGAGGAGGAGAAGGAGAAGGCAGAGGAAGAGGAAGAGGAAAAGGAGAAGGAGGAAGAAGAGGAGGAGGAAGAGGAGGAGGACGAGGAGGACGAGGAGGAGGACGAGGAGGAGGAGAAAGAGAAGGAGGAGAAGGAAGAGGAGGAGGAGGAAGAGGAGAAGAAGAGAAAAGAAAAGAGAAAAAAGAGGAGGAGGAGGAGGAGAGTAGGGGAGAGAGAAGAAGGGGAAGTGAAAGAAGAGGAGGGGAGGAGGAGAGAAGAAAAGAGGAAAGAAAGACAGGACAGGGACGTAGTTCAGTGACAGAATGCTTACTTAGCATGTACCAGGCCCAGGTTCAATCCCCCAGCACTATAAGGAAAAGAATCTGGCTGTTCTAGAACAATCACTTTCCCCACATTGGTCATCAGTATTCAACACAATGAAGGTCGATGAAGAATCTGTTGTCATTATTTTTAAATGGATAGTGATGGGTTCCGTTTTTTACTTTCTGATTTTATCAGAAAAAAACAGAATAGTTCTATTTAGTACTGGATAACAGTATTGCATAGTGGCCAAGAGTGTGAATCTGTAGTCCTATTTCAGTAACTAGCCACTTGGAAGTTTGCATACACTTTTTAGCCTGTCAGCATAATCTACAGAATGAACTGTTGAAGTACCTACTTCTTAGAGTTGTCACAGTAATTCGATGAGATGGCACACGTAAAGCACTTAAGACAGCACCAAGCACAGAAGCTATTTAATTTTATGTGATCTCATTTGTTGATTCATGGTGTTATTACCTGTGCAATTAGGCTTTTGTTCAGAAAGTCCTTGCGGGATGTGTTGGCACATGCCTGTAATCCCAGCATTCAGGAAGCTGAGGCAGGATGATTGCCATGAGTTTGAGGCAAGTGTGGGCTTCAAAGTGAGTTTAAGTCCTGACTGAACTACATAGCAAGACCCTGACTCAAAAAAAAAAGTCCTTGCCTATGCCTATGCCTTCAAGAATTTTACCAATTTTATCTTGTGTCAAGTGTTTCTGTTTTAATATTAACATCTTTGTTCCATTTTGTTTTTAGTTTAGTACATGGTGAAAAATATGCATCTAGAGTCAATGGATAGCCATTTTTCACAG